CCCCAAAACCCCAAAACCCCAAAACCCCAAAACCCCTTGTTTTATTAGAAAATTGCTAAGAATTTAAACTGTATATGGCCTTCAATTCTTTATATCTATTCCTAGATTGCGAAATTCTTACCTAAAAAATGAGTTATACACCAAGCTTACTCTTGAAATTCTCTTTCTTTTGAGAAGAGGGCTCATGAGCTTTATCCTAGATTTTTTTCTCTTCTTAAATGGAACTGTCTTTTGAGCATTTCTTTCAGGTTGCACATAGTACTCTAGATTCAGTTATAAGAATATTAGTAATCTGCTTACCATCGTGTGTTGAGTATATCTTTGCTATTTCCTTAGTTGAGCAATAAGGCTTGCACCTTCTGACAGCAGGCACCACTAGCTTGTTGTTATGAATGAAATCTAGGAAAATTAAAAAGTCTGAAACAGTAATGTGCATTGGGAGTTCAAAGCCACTGAGAAAGTGATAATGCAAGCTGATAAGCATATTTTTGGAATTACCTCAATCATATCTGGAATATGGGTCAAACTCTCTTTGAGAGTTAGTTTGAGATACTTCGTTGGCTGTATGAGTGTTTGTGGTTACTGAAGCTGATGATAGGATTTTGTCGAGTAACCCATGAGGTTTAAGAGTTTCATGATATCCAGCTACACCTTTATTGAGACTTGAAGAAACTTGATTATATCTCCGAAGACTTCCGTTTGGATGAGATGTTACGATCGTCCTCCTCGGGTTCCTATTACACCTTTTTATCTTGATCAGCTTATGTTTCCAATCTACATTAGAGTACAATAAAAATAGGAAGGAGGGTTACCTATCACACTGTTTCTATTTAGGTTCAATATTTCTTGTCTTATAAGTACTTGTCATAGCATTCTTTTTGTCTAATGTCGACGAAGAAAATTCTGAAATATTACAATCTAAAGTTTCTCATTAATTTTGAGCATCTTAATGCACTGTGAAATAATATGTACCTTCAGGATCTTCTTCTGAGTCTTCTATAAATTATAAAAATAAGGTCCTTAAAGGGAAGAATGATCTGTAAAACGTTGCTTACTTTCAGGCTCATATGTGAGTTCTTTTATCCTCCACTTGACATCATTGAGATATTTTTCCTTCCCTCAATATGTTCAGCATCAACTACTTCGTCTGGCTTTACCTATGGCTCTTTGTGATTTTTGACCTTTCCACAGCTGGATTTCGTCATAGTTGTCTTCTTTGAATCTGGAGTATTTGCTACTAGGATTAGTCAATGATTTAGCTTCAAATTTATTCGAGAAAATATTAATATTTACCTTTGGACGAAATTATTCATGTTCTGTTTATTGTACAAAGAGAGATCTTCCATGATCTTGACAGGGTGCTTTTGGGGATCCTCAGAAATAGTTGGGAAGTTAGGGTTCTGTGTGAAAGGACTATCGAATTGCTCCTGAATAGAACCAATCTTTCTCTTATTTATAAACTTTTGTTCAGCTTTTTATAGAGTTTGCAAACCTTCGTTAGTCTTCTCTTATCTTCTTTCCCCTTCAATACTTCTTGTAGAATTCCTACTGATGGTGGAGATATGAATATTTTGAAAATCTTGCTCCAACCTCCACTATCTCGCTGGGTCTTCCAGCTCGGAGATAAATTTTGCATTCAATGCCCTCTATTATTTTCATTGAAGGTTTCTTGGTGAGAGGCCTCAAAATTATCAAAGATATTATTGGCCATGTTAGGAGAAAGCCCGTCTAAGTTCTCCTGCATATATATTTGATTTCCATAGATTTTCTCATTAAGATTCTGCTCGGGGAAGTGAAATTTAAGCTTCTTAGGAGACTGTCCCTTATTTTCCTTCATTTTATATAATCACTTTGACTTAAAGGGGTTTTGGGGTTTTGGGGTTTTGGGGTTTTGGGGTTTTGGGGTTTTGGGG